AGAGGAGTGCGTGCCGTGCCTGGTCTTGGCGTCCACGCAGCAGCAACCAGTTCTCTCATGAAATATCGAAGGATCGTTGCCGATCCAGTCCCTTCGCCCACAGCACGCACCGGGCCACAGACACCACCGCTCCCCCTGCTCTCAGGGCGCAGAAGGTGCCGTTTGGAAATGCCACGGCCCAGGAGACCCGTCCTCCCCCCGCATGGCCTCCTGGGCCACTAAGAATGACCGAAAACGTGGGGACGTTGTCATTTTGAATGTGAATTGCTCACATCATCCCCTTTTCTCTGGTTGTCTGTCCTTAGCTGCCCACTAGCTAGAAGCTCCCTCCGTGCGGGCAGGCCCGGGCCGGTCTCATTCATTGTCGCAGCCTGGGTGCATGGGCATATATATTTTTTAATATATTTTATTGATTTTTTACAGAGAGAAAGGGAGAGGGATAGAGAGCTAGAAACATCAATGAGAGAGAAACATCGATCAGCTGCCTCCTGCACACTCCCTACTGGGGATGTGCCCGCAACCAAGGTACATGCCCTTGGCCAGAATCGAACATGGGACCCTTGAGTCCGCAGGCCGACACTCTATCCACTGAGCCAAACCAGTCAGGGCGCATGGGCATATTTTGACACTGAGTATTTTTGAATGGATGAATCTATTAGAAGATTATTTTGCCAATTCTAACATACAAATGTTTACAGAACCTTATTTTTTGATCTGTGATCTCCATCGAGCAGCACCTTACACTGAGGGAGCTGGCAGGAGTCTGAAGGCTTTGGGCATGTTTTGTAGCCATCACGCGACACCTCCAACGCTGGTTGGTGACAGTTGTCCAAGAGATTGCGTAGTTGGCCCCAAGGGCAAGGAAAGGACGTACTTTTCTTAAATTGACTTCAGAGATGAAGGGAGAGGAAGAGAGATAGAAACATCAATGATGAGATAGAATCATTGATCAGCTGCCTCCTGCACGCCCCACGCTGGGGATCGAGCCCACAACCTGGGCATGTGCCCCGACTGGGAATCAAACTGTGACGTCCTGGTTCATAGGTTGACGCTCAACCACTGAGCCACACTGGCTGGACGGAAAGGATGCACGTGAAAGGACTTAATAAAAGAAGAATGATAACCTAAAAGTTTAGGTTTTCAGGAGCTAGAAAACCTAATCAATATAGATTTGGTGAATGCCAACAATATGCAAAAGCATTTTTCTTTTTTTTTAAAGTTACATTTCAGATTATTCCTGTGTAATTGAAAACTTATTATGCTGCCTCATTGCAATGTGGATAATATGAAAAAATTCATTAGTATTATTTTCAAGACATACGTGAAAGAGGATGATAATTTCAGCGAGAAGCACATTCCTCCTCCTCCCTGAGGCATTAATACGGCTTTCACTTAGAACTGATTGTAAGATGGTATTGTGATCTGCTATATAAAAAGCAATAGGCAATTTCAGAGATTGCAAATGTTTTATTACATTCATTGTGTATTTCTTTAGGAACTATATTTGGCTTTAATATTTAAGATGTAGCACACTATTATGAACTATATATTCAGTATTTGTTTATGGGGCCAATACTTATTTATGAAAATCCACCAGTGGATACGTACTCTGATATATATTTTTTTAATTTTTTTTAAATGTATTTTATTGATTTTTTTTTTACAGAGAGGAAGGGAGAGGGATAGAGAGTTAGAAACATTGATGAGAGAAACATCAGTCAGCTGCCTCCTGCACACCTACTACTGGGGATGTGCCCGCAACCAAGGTACATGCCCTTGACTGGAATCGAACCTGGGACCCTTGAGTCCGCAGGCCGACGCTCTATCCACTGAGCCAAACCGGTTAGGGCTGTACTCTGATATATTTATATTTTTTAAGCAGTTCTGTGTAAATTTAGTTGGTATCTGTCAACAAGCAACTCAATATTTATAATATTGTGAACCATGATTGAATAGATTCCATACTGAAATTAACATTAAACCTTTATTTGTCTTAAGTAACTATTGAGCCATGAAGACATTTACCTAAGACTAATGGTTTCTGAAAATCATGTAAATTAATTTTTACTGAAAGCTGCCAATTTTGGGTTAAAAGCTCTTCTTTGGAAATTCTTAAAATATTTGAATTTTCACGGTGCTATATCCAGTGTATGTTATTTATTCAAAGCTATTCAGAGAGACCTAAGGCTTTTGCTCTTTTCTTTGGAAGACTAGTTCCTCCTCTGGTACCCCACCTCTATCTTAAAAAAGCGTTGAAAGAAATAAAAGTAATAAGTCAGTACTGTGCTTTGACATTGGGTAGCCGTTTCCTTTCTTTAGATGGGATTCAAGTTTTCTATACCTGACACTAGCTACTCAGACGACGGGCACTTGGAACACACCGCGGCAAAAAAAAGAATGACAGTCTTTACTGCCAAGGGTGAAAATCGAGTTTTCAAGCAAAAATTTGAATTTTGGAGAACATATCTGCTAGCGTGAGCCTACCAGCTCCCAGTGCTTGCTTTTCTGATGGGATTTGCAGTGATAGCGAATGTGATGATATAGTGAAATGTGCTGATATTTGGAAGATCAATGGACCAGTGTTTTTGAAAAGACCGGTGGGTGATGTTACAAAATCGCGCATCGTGTAAAAGATTCCTTCAGTGTCTAGACCCGGGGATTTTCACAGAACAGTGTAGAAAGTTCCTGGATATGGTTTCTCATTCCACATCACAAGTGATCTTTTAGAAAACTACCACTCGTCAAATGCTGGTGTAATAGCAAAGAAAGAGACCTATAACTAGGTGAATGCTCTTCCCTTTTCCAGCTCCATGTCTGTCTGAGCGGATTTGCCCCATATTTCAATGAAAATAATACGCTGCCGCAGGTTGAGTGCGAGCACATAGGAGACTCTGGCCATCTATTCAGCCAAACACTTAAGAGATTGGCAAAAGTGGAGAGCAGTTCGACTCTTCTCACTCATTGTTTTGTTTTAGAAAATACAATTTTCTTCATCAAAATATTTATTACATGTAATGTGTTTGTTAATTTTAAAAGAAGCAATAAAATATATCTTTTCCAATTTCTAATACAGTAAACATTATAGATGTAATCATTTTCATATAAATGAATATTTTGGGGGGTCCTCAGTAATATTTATGAGTGTAAAGAGGTGTAAGGCAAAAAGTTTGAGAATTGCTGATTCGGAGGAGTGATTCCATATCTGAAATATATGTTAGGGGGAAGGGATGGAGGAGCTGGCATTTTATGCTAAGAGACTTGCACTTTACAGTAAAGAGGAAGGAGTCAGAAAATGTTTAAAATATATTTTTATTAATTTCAGAAAGGAAGGGAGAGGGAGAGAGAGAGATAGAAACATCAATGATGAGAGCGAATCATTGATTGGCTGCCTTTTGCATGTCCCACACTGGGGATCGAGCCCAAAACCCGGGCATGTGCCCTGAGCAGGAATCTAACCGTGACCTCCTGGTTCATAGGTCGACACTCAACCCCTGAGCCATGCCAGCTGGCTGAGGAGTCAGAATTTTTGAGCAGAAAAGTGATATGAGAGTAATCTGGAGGTGACAGGTGCAGCGGGGTAGGAGTGGGGGAGTGAGTAGAGTGGAGAGCAGGTAGAGCGCATGAGCAGAAGGGCCACCATAAGGTGTTGGGTTTGGTTTAGGCTGCACAGTGTTGACCTCGCTACTGATGGGATAAAGTAAAGGAGCAGTCAGGCCTTAGGTTTGAGCTAAGATAACCAGGGTCAGGAGAAGCTGATTGGTCGGGAAAGTTGAACTACTTCCACATTTTTGTAGCACCGCGATCAGGCATTGGAGATTGAGTCACCAGGTAGAGATAGCCATTGAAGAATTGACAACTCAGACCAGATAGCCTCCCGCTCTTGTGGTATCTTAGGGCACCTCTCTTGCTTCAAATGATGAAGAGTTCTTGATGAGGTAAGACAATGGTGATCTGGTTGCTAAACGTTTCTATTTTGGTAGCTAGGTTTTATATCAAAACCTGATAAAAGTATTAACTATTATGTGCTTGGCACTGTACCATGGGCTCTTATAGTTACTATATTTGTGTGTGTGTGTGTGTGTGTGTGTGTGTGACCATGTCTATGATTTTTAAGCTCTATTAATCCAGATTCTTTAATTTCCAAGACTTATTTACAGCATTTCACAGAAAGTTATTTTCCTATGTAGAGCAATAAAATGTTTAAAGACGTTATGATCAAGATTTAATAATGAAACTAGACTCTGTTCCTTTCTTTTTTTAAATGGAACCTGATAAATGTATTAGCTATTATGTGCTTGGCACGGTACCATGGGCTCTTATAGTTATTATATTTGTGTGTGTGTGTGTGTGTGTGTGTGTGTGTGACCATGTCTATGATTTTTAAGCTCTATTAATCCAGATTCTTTAATTTCCAAGACTTATTTACAGCATTTCACAGAAAGTTATTTTCCTATGTAGAGCAATAAAATGTTTAAAGACGTTATGATCAAGATTTAATAATGAAACTAGACTCTGTTCCTTTCTTTTTTTAAATTGCACAATTAGTCAATGGTACATGGAAGAGAAACTTTTGGTTCATATCCGTCTTAGAATAAGTTTGTTTCATAGGAATTCCTCAGCGCGAGCCGTGTGGATGGGTGAGCAAGGCTTTTTAAAAGGGCTGAAAACGTGCTCTTAGCAACCATCTGATAAAATGAAAAACTGAACAAAATGTGAACGCAGGTGAACGAGTCTCTGAAGAAATGATGGTGCAAACGAATCGTCAAAAGTGTGAAATCATTAAAAACGAAACATGTTTGGGTTTTTATTGAAACTTAATTGCAGGCTTATGTGTTTTCTTTCGTAAGCGAAGTTAGAAGGAAATGGCCTAACTAAAATTTTGGAGGCCAGTGTTGTAAGACATATATTGTACCACGATTTATTTTTCACATAAAAGCTGCTGTTCATCTCCTCCCCCCCCCACCCCCCGTGGCATTAACATGCATGTTTTCCTCATGTAGGAGAATATATAAAAAACTGGAGGCCACGCTATTTCATTTTGAAGACAGATGGCTCATTCATAGGATATAAAGAGAAACCTCAAGACGTGGACCTGCCTTACCCCCTCAACAACTTCTCAGTGGCAAGTAAGTTCATTATAACTGTTGACTCACTTGGTATTTATTTATTCGTGTGGCCTCATGTGTCAGGTATCTTCTGTATGAGACGCTGATGAGAAAGTTGAGGTTTGTAGTGAACAGCAGAGAGAATTGCAGCTTTGATAGAATTTCAAAGAGGGAAGGAGAGAGAGAAACATCAATGATGAGAGAGAACCATTGATTGGCTGCCTCCTGCATGCCCCACACTGGGGATCGAGCCCAATCGGGATGATCAATGATATGTGGTCTTCGGTAATGAATTCTTTAATATTTTTAATAGCGAGCACTTGAATGTGATCATTATAGTTCCCCCAATATGTGCTGCAGGGTTTCCTTTACAAAATGCAAACAAAGCCCTTCGGACCTGATTGCTGGGTGGACCTCGTTGGGGGTGGACTTGGCTGGGGGTGGACACGGTTGGGGGAGGATCTGGTTGCTGGGTGGACATGGTTGAGGGAGGACATGGTTGCTGGGTGGACACGGTTGCTGGGGGGACATGATTGGGGAAGGACATGGTTGCTGGGTGGACATGATTGGGGGTGGACATGGTTGTGGGTGGACACGGTTGGGGAGGACATGGTTGCTGGGTGGACATGGTTGCGGGTGGACACGGTTGGGGGTGGACACAGTTGGGGGTGGACACGGTTGGAAGAAGTCGCAGTAGCTCCTAGTGCATTTCCAGTCAGTTTCCTCTCATGATCGTAGAGCCTCTGAGTGGTCGCATGATGAGAAATAAGTGATTTCCGTCAGAAATCATTTTTCACGGGAGACTTTATGTTTGTAGTTAAACTTTTCTTCCTTAGAGACATCTACTAAAATGTTTGTGATGTAAACTTATTTTGAAATTATGTGTTTGCCTGAACATAGCACAGAGTGAACTGAAAGACAGTGGTAAGTTATGATAATGACCTTAGTTATTATTACAATGTTATGACCAGACAGTTGAAACTGTTCAATTTACTGATTATCAATGAAGGGTTTTTATGTATTAGTTCCAAAGTAAAGTGTTTTAAAGTTGTGTTGAGTTCAAATAAACCTGCCTAATAGCTAAAGTCAGTGCCATTGAGATAAAATCTTTAACTGGACACCATTCTTAATGTTGGTTGTATGTTGTTATCTGTTAGCTCCACTTGGAAAAGATATGAGGGAAGATTGAAGCTGAAAAAAATAATAAAAAATACAGTAAAATAGCAACAACAGAAAAATCCAAGTGAACAAAAGTCCTTCCATTTTATGAAAGTCATTTTATCATTATATAGAGCCCCCGGTCTTTTCTATGGCTACATCTTTTTTTTTTAAGAATAAGATTAAATAATAAACCAAAGGATGTGTGAAATCATTTGAATGATAAAGATACTAACTTAAAAAAATAAAGAAAATAAACAACCTCTCTATATAAGTGGATTCTTGGGTTTTCCATTTAAAAAAAGTGAGGACAGGTACAGGTATGGATTAGTTAAGGAAATTATTTTCCCACCCAGATGCTCATTAGCTATGTAGATCCTTCTTTCAGTAGAAAATTACTTTTAAAATCCTATTGTCAATTGAAATACTATCCTGTATTTTGTATTGATTTAACACATTTTCATTCTGAAGATCTTCTGGGCAGGCATTTGCTTTGAAATGACAGGAATTGGCTTTGAAAACATTAGCAGCATAGATTGTCATGTGCTACCTACAGCCAGTACAGTTCCTCAGTGTCTCTGTTTGACTAGCGAATGCTATTGGTTTGTCTGAAATAATTTATAGAAGCATAGAACTCCTGTATCTGCTGATCAAAAATGCAGCATTTTTTGACCTTATGAAATTTCACACCCCAACAAGTTTTAAAGACATACTGTATGTCACAATCTGCCCACATCTGCTCCCACACTTCCACCAGCAGCGGCTGAAATACAGGCTGCACTGCGGGGGGGTGGGGGGGTGGGGGGTCCTGCCTGATGTCTGTCAGTCAGCGAATCCCCGAAATAAATATTAGTCGGCATCTGTACTCTTTACTTGTAGGTAGTTGACTCAAACTAACACGTTGTAGACCAGCTCTTTGTTTTCCGAAGTGTATTATCTTGGCACGTACACTAGCTACACTCTCTTAAATGGATTATTCTTAAAGCTTGATTTATTGCAATCTTAAATTTTGTAAAAAAAAAATATATAATAATTACCCGAGGAAATTGTGTAGTGAAATGGGCACTGGTTGAAGTTCAGATTTCAGATTTCCCATAATCCATGAGTATGACCTTGGGCAGGTCATTCTCTGAATCTCTGGTCTTTAGTTCCTTCATCAGAACAGCGGGATCCCTTGGGTTCAATGAATCCGTAAGGCCTTTTTTTGTCTCTAACATTCTGGGATTCCATGAGGGGGACATTGAGCAGGCCCTTGAAGAGTGAATAGGAGTAAAATTAAAATAGAGAAGACTATTCCAGGCGGAGGGTGACAAAATATTTTTATGAGACATTAAAAGAAAGAACAGTTGGAATATGAGAGGGTTACTTCACCAATGGTTTCCCTACTTCCCAGGCCCTGCTAGTATATGAAAAAGAGATAGTTTAAAGGTATTTCTAAGGTATATTGGGAAATATTATCTATACATATATCCCATTGATAGCTGCGGTATGAGTCTCCTGTTTTTCCTGATAATTAAAAATGTGCCTTAAATTTAATGTATGTGGGTTTTAATAGAATTCTATGAAAATAGGCTTTTTATCCATATATATAAAAAAATAAAGTGAGGCCTGGAAGGGACTTAGAATTGACCTTTACAGCCTTCATGAAATTTCAGATTCCTTCCTTCCTTTCGGATGTAAAATTTCCAAAAAGAACATACTCATTGTTTCTACTTCTCAACCCACTGCATGCCTTCATGAAATTTCAGATTCCTTCCTTTCGGATTTAAAATTTCCAAACAGAACATACTCATTGTTTCTACTTCTCAACCCACTGCAGTCTAGCTTTCTCTCTTGCTTACTTGATTGAGTCCACTTTTATTTCATTAAGTTCCCCAGCGATCACTTAATTTCTAAGACTAGTAAACATTTTTCGGTTCTTCGTTTCCCGGGTGTACATCTGGACTGCGTTTAATACTATCGACCACCACCTCCTTCCTGGGAGGACCCCTCTCATCCTCTCCTTCTGGAATGTGTCTTCCTCCGTCCGGGCTTTCTTCCTTTGCCTGCTGCATGTGTTTCGATGTCTAACCAGAATCTGGCCAAGGACTCTTCTCACTTGGTCCCCTCCCCTTGGTGGCCACATTCACTTTAAGGTCCCTGTATGCAGCTTGCTCCCACAAGGCCTTTCTCCTGAGCGGTAGGTTACTGTGTTCACCTGACCCCTGGGCCTCTCTACCTAGGTATTTTTTGGACTCCACATGTCCCAAGCCGAACTCAAGATAATTTTGTCAATCCCTCTCCTTCCCCCCACCCCCCAATGTTCAGTATCTCATTTCTCTCTTGAGCAGAAACCTGGATCCATAGCATGCTTTTCCCCCCTTCACATCTTCATCCACTTCCAACTTGTGTCTAGTCCTGCTGCTTTTGCTTCTTATTTCTTCAACTTCTGTCCTCCCCTGTATTCACCCTAAAACAAGCCCTCATCATCTCTGCTACAGATTCTGACCTCGAGGCTCTGCCACTTGTAACACTTCCTTCACCTGGCCGTCAAAGGGATCTTTCTAAAATCAAAGCCTGAGTATGCCGTTCCCTGGGAAAGCCCAGCCCGGGGTCTTCATTGCTGGTGAGTCAGGTCCAGCTTCCTTCATTTACATATGAGATCTCCTCTGTCTGGCCTCTGCTCTCCACTTTTTTATTTTTTTTAAATCTTCATTGTAGAAAGTATTACATGAACCAATTGCAGCCCGCTCCCATCCTCTGCTTTCAACTCTTGCTTTGTCTCTCTTCTGTGTAGGTCCACTGGGCAGTTCTGAGCTACTTATTATTCCCTGCACCACAAACTATGCTGCTGTTCTCTACTCTGAGCCGTTGTCTATGCTGTTCCACCCTCTGATTGGAATGTCCTTCTGTTCTCTATTTGCCTGGATCATTTTTAAAAAATTATTATTCTTTAAGACTTAATTCAGATTTACATTCCCAGCCTACTTCCTTGCTGAATGACTCCTCTCTGCCCTTCACGAAGCTGTTGCCCTTGGTGGTCATCTTGGGTGTTTCTCGGTCATCTTGTTCGTGTGTGTGTCTCATCTGCTAATCTGAGTTATTTGAGGGGAAAGAGTCGAGTGTCATTTGTCTGATAGCTCCGAGGACCCACATGTTGGGTTTTCAGTAACTGCTTTCAAGGGAATATCTGAAATAATCTAGTCCATATATATTTTTTTTTTCACTTCTTGGTAAGAAAAATGAAGCCTTTAGAAATTCAGTGATCATTTTAAGGTTGTTTTACTAGATAGTACTAATTAAGTATCAAATCTCTCTACTGTTGTTTAAAAGTGCTATTCCCGCCCTGGCTGGTTTGGCTCAGTCAATGGAGTGTCAGCCTACAGACTGAAAGGTCCCAGGTCCGATTCAGGTCAAGGGCACATGCCCGGGTTGTGGGCTTGATCCCCAGTAGGGGGCATGCAGGAGGCAGCCAATCAATGATTCTCTCTCATTGATATTTCTATCTCTACCTCTCCCTTCCTTTCTGAAATCAATAAAAATAACTAAGTAAATAAATAAAAAAATAAATAAGATATTCCCCTCTCCACCCACATTAGAGTAAGAGCCTTGAGATTTGATTTTGGGTGGGCATTCCAACACTTACATTGCTAGATATTCTTTGTCATGCAGAATTCTTCGAGCCCTACAAAATGTGGATAATAGCATTTGACCTTCATCCTTCAGATGGGTCAAATGTGAACTATATACAAAGGTGCCTTCTACATTTAGTGCTGTAGAAATATAAGTAAAATTTTTTTTTTTTAAGCAGGGTACATTTCTAATGAGAATTGTGGTTTGGTAAATTGCTAATTATAGATTGAGATTATCTTTGCACAAGAAAT